TGGATGCCACCTTATTGGGACAAAAGCCCTCCCTACACCTACCCTAACCCTACCCGATACTTTATTTTCAACTTTTAGAATATTTCCTTAATTTTTATTATAAATAAATGCTTTCCTGATGTGATTTGAAATTTGAAAAGGGAGAAAAAAAGTTCTCCAAAAGGCAGATTCGAACCCGGGTCGATCGCGTCAAAAGGAGCACGACACACGCTTTACCATCTACACCACTGAAACTGACGATTGATGACTGTCTTTTGTCATGTTGACTAGCTTAATCACACGTTGGTGGGTGGAGTTATTATAAATAGCCTCTGCCAACAAGGGGGGCTATTTGCACTCTGTAAATAGACACTCCGATTTTTTTTTTATTCCCAACAGTTAAACAGTTGCCCACAGAAAAAAACGGGGTGCTGCAGCACCCTCAGCACCCCCACTTCCCGTGCCTATGGAAACAGGCTTCCATAGATCCTTAAAACACATATTTGTTGTGTTGGCTAATAATATCAATAGTATAATATGAATGAAAGCTACATGCATTTCATGTATTTTAATGTTTGCTGCTTTCACCTTGTCTTTGACCATCTCCACCCCAATTTGAAGACCTTTTCCTCTCACGTCACCGATGATCTCGTACTTGTCCCTGAGCTTGGCCAATTCAGTCATCATGTATGTCCCCACTTCAGTACTGTTCTCCTGCATCTTGTCCTCTTTTATTGTCTGAGAGCAAAATACAGCATTCAGTTTCAAGTATTATTTCAAGTACTATTTATAAACAGAGGCGGACAGTAACTAAGTACATTTACTTGAGTATTGTACTTAAGTACACTTTTTGAGTATCTGTACTTTACTTGAGTATTATTTTTTCTGGAAACTTATGACTCTACTTTTCTTACTCCACTACATTTCTATCAAGATCCTCAAAGTAGAAAGTCATTAGAAGCTTTGAAAGTCAGTGGGTGATTTTTTTCTTCTCTAAAAACGGTCTTTTTTTCCAGACAGTTTATCAGTAATCACTCTTGGGGCTACATGAAGTGATTTCCCAGGATTTTTTGAGCACTGACCAGTTCCAAATGTGATATTTATTTACAACAGTTCAATAATAAGAAGTTAATATTGTGGTTTATATTAGACACAATATTATCTGATTTTGCTTAATTGTGTAAGTGAAAATATTACCTATAAAGCCACAGAAGAACTGTTGTGCGTCTCCTAATAAAACACAAAAGGTGTTGGACTGAAAGTGTGTGGGGGTGGGTAGGGGTGTTAAATAATATATTTTTTTTTTTTTGTTTTTACCCCATAGGTTTTTAACATTCTAAAAGCTCTTTATTCCAAAGATACTACAAGCTAGTTAGTGTATTCAGTAGGTGCAATGTATTGTAAGTTGCTTCAGAGGTATTGCAAGTATTACATACAACAATAATAAAACAGTGCATTGACATAAAAAAGGAAATTTACTTTTGGTACTTAAGTACTTTTAAAAGCAAGTACTTCTGTACTTTTACTTAAGTAAAAATCTGTCTTTACAACTTTTACTTGTAATGGAGTAATATTTGACCAGCAGTATCTGTACTTTCACAACACTTGGTATTTATAGTGTGACATTGATATCACAACAGTATAGCAGAGTAGCAGATTCTTGACTTTTTATTCCACTCTTTGGTCTTGTAATCTGGACATCTAATTTAAAGCTGCAGTCCTTAACTTTTGGAGCTCTAGCGGTTAATAAACAGAACTGCGTGCATCTTGTGGAAGAACATTGTAGCCGGAGCTACTTCTCTCTGTTTATGTCTATGGTGAATCTGGGCTACTGGGCTACTCCGCAGCGGTACCTACCCGAAAATGGATTCATGGTGTACTCACTTATTATATAAATTTTGTACATTTTGAACACAAAAAAGTTACGGACTGCAGCTTTAAGTAATGGTGTTGTGTACTTTGTCCACCTCTGTTTATAAACCATTGATATTTTTTTTGTTTTAGCTATATTTTATACTAGTATATTTTATACTGTTATTTAGATTTTTGTACTAGTTTATAATTTGAGATTACACTCATCGACATTTTATATATTCACTATTGTTGATACCAGACATACTTTTCATTTTATGTACCACTGATCTTTTTATTTTAACTACAGGTGCATCTCAATAAATTAGAATGTCGTGGAAAAGTTCATTTATTTCAGTAATTCAACTCAAATTGATGCTTTTTTTTTTATATTATTGATATTTTTATACTACTTTATAATTTATCTCACTTAGAGCAACATTTTGTGCACCATTACTGATAGCAGATGTTTTATATTATTTTTTTAACCACTGATCTTTTTATTTTTAATTAGATTTAATATTATTTTATACTATTATTTAGATATGTTTACTAGTTTATCATGTATTATCTCACAGTAACATTTTAATTACTATTGCTGATATCAGGTATTTTTATGCATATTTTTGTACAATTTTATCATCTCACAAACATATCATAATACTTTTTACATTTTATTAAATTTTATTGTTTATTTTTCTACTATATAACTTATCACACACAAAATGACAATTTATGCATTCACTATTGCTTATACTAATGTAACTGTGCACAACGGACAAGTAAAATTATCTGTACTTACATCTAACACTGATGAGGCGACTGCACAGGCTAATGGGTTTCCTCCAAATGTGTTGAAATGAACTCCCTTCCCAAATGACCTGGCAATCTCTGCAAAATACACAACTCACATGATATCAGTGCAATCAATATGCATGCAACCCACTCACAAGGAGTTTTTCAGTGTGGTTTTATTTATTTGGTATTAACTTTAAGCATTAGGTACTCTCATAATTTTAGACAAATGAATCTACTCTGGTTTTACACTTTCTATTCACGCTTTCTCTCTCAGCTTCTCACAGGATGAAGAGCAAACAGCGAGAGCCAGAGGAACATAATTAGAGTGAAGGAAAAAAGCATTGGCTGTGAGCAGTGGCACTCCAGTAGGCTTTCAGAGTTCAAGTATGTTCAATTCAGTTAAATTCTTTGCCTAATGAACTGGCAAATTACAGACCCATTTCAAATCTTCCGTTTATGTCTAAAATTTTAGAAAAAAGTTGTGTCTGCTCAATTGTGCTCTTTCTTGCAAAAAAAGATCTCTATGAAGAATTTCAGTCAGGTTTCAGGCCCCACCATAGCACAGAAACTGCACTTGTTAAAATTACAAATGACTTGCTTCTTGTGTCAGACTAAGGCTGCATCTCATTGCTAGTTTTACTTGATCTTAGTGCTGCGTTCGACACTATAGATCATGACATACTCATAGATCGATTACAAGACTATACGGGTATTCAAGGGAAGGCTTTAAGATGGTTTAGATCCAACCTGTCCGATCGCTACCAGTTTATTTATTTAAACGGGGAGTCATCTCAATTATCACCAGTAAAGTATGGAGTGCCACAAGGATCTGTCCTAGGTCCTGTGCTATTTTCAATATACATGTTGCCCCTTGGTAATATTCTTAGAAAATACGGAAGTAGTTTCCATTGTTATGCTAATGATACTCAACTATATATCTCAATAAGACCAGATGAAACTTCTAAATTACCTAAGCTAACAGAGTGTGTTAAAAATGTAAAAGATTGGATGACCAATAATTTTCTCCTATTAAATTCGGATAAGAAAGAGATATTACTTATTGGACCAAAAACAGTACACACAATCTCTTGGATTAGAATTTGCAACTAGATGGATGTACTGTTACTTCCTCTACAGTCAAAAATCTGGGTGTTATATTAGACAGCAACTTGTCTTTTGAAAATCATATTTTCCATGTTACAAAAACAGCATTCTTCCATCTTAGAAACATTGTCAAGCTACGAAACATGTTACCTGTTTCTGATGCAGAAAAGCTAGTTCATGCATTCATGACCTCTAGACTGGACTATTGTAATGCACTGCTAGATGGTTGTCCTGCATCAACAGAGCACCAGAGCTTTTCAATATGGAACACTGGTACTCAAGCAGAGCTTTTCAAAATCACAAAGCACTAAGGTGAACACAACGGTAAGCCTATTAAAAGCAACATGAGAGAGATGTAATTTAGAATTTGTGGTTCATTTTGTTCTAAGAATATTGCAATTGAGTGCAATGCTGAAACTTGGATTCAAGCTCACCACTGGGTTCAGAGTGCTGATTAATTCCACTTCGTGTTTGACCGATGTCTTACGGCACAGTCCCTCATTAAACTTTGAAGAGTTCACTCTAGCCTCACCTGCAGTGGTGACTACAGCCCCCATCGGGAAACCGTTCGCTATGCCCTTTGCCATGGTAACCATGTCTGGAAGGACATTATGTCCTTGGAAACCCCAAAAGTGGCTCCCTGTGCGGCCAAAACCAGTCTGGACCTAAAAGAACCAAAATTACCAACAAATTTGCAATAAATTATAACGTTATTCAGTAATCAAGCAAGCATTTGTATATTACAAAGCCTTAAAATAAATAAACAAACGAACAAACAAAAATTATTTTTTGTGTGTAAAAAAAAGTTAAAATAGATCATTATTTTCTGTACCTCAGTTTTGAAATCTATTAAACCATTATCTGACCAAAAAAAAGTAAAAAAAAAAAAAAAAAAAGTGAAATAACCATATTTATTTCTGTTGGATACTGTACAATTGGATACTCATGCATAATTAGGTTATGTACTGTCTGAAATTAATAAGAGTTATTTTGCATTTTTAATTGCATGTAAAAATGTCTACATTTACATGACAACGATGTACTAAAAAAGCTTTTTAATTTGCATTATTCGTTGTCCAAACGATCCACACACTTTAAACACTGTATTATGCTTGCCAGGCCAGTAGTTGGCGATGTAACTTTGTAAAGGAACACTATGCGAATACATAATACACATGAAGTGTCACAAATTTGCGTTTTTAGTAGTTTACACCGAAACGATAACTGTACTGTTTTCAAAAACACTTTGAAACCCCCCATTTACCTGCAATTGGGGCGGGGTTAAGCACAGGTGTTGCTGTTTACTTCACTAGAGTGATAAACACTCTGTTTGTTTTTGAAAATTTGGGACAATCTGAAGCACCAACCCTGTGTTTTTGGCTTCACTGATGTACAGAATGGGATTTACAAGCAAATTCTTCAGACCTCATCTGCTATACAGATTCCTCCTTTCTCCCGAACAAGCTGGTAGGTGTCTTTCAGGTAGTTTTTTGGAAACTGAACAGCCCCACCAACACCCTGTAGAAAGATAAAAATGATAATCAGGATATAACTTGCCACATGTTAATATTTGAGAGCAATGAGTTAGTGTTTGTGGAATTTTTAGTCAGTGCTGGATATACAGATATATATATATATATAGTTTTAAACATTAAATGCAGTCTCCCATTAACTGGACTGTGCTGGAATATACAATATAGAGCAAAATACTGACATTCTGCTGTGAAAATGGAAGTTATTTTCACTGATGTACTTTTAGTAACTTATGACATCTATCATCAAAGTGCTGGGTAATGGCTCTGATTTTGTTTGTCAGTGTTTGTTTCTATGACAACTGAAATGCCCTACACTCCTAGAAATATAGGTTCCAAAAAGGGGTTTTCACAGTGATGCCATAAAAGAGCCATTTTAGGATCCCCAAATAACCTTTCAGTGAACAGTTTTTAAAATAGCCAATATTCTTTGTGTGAAGAACTTTTTGATCAATGGAAAAGTTCTTCATGGAACCTTACAAAAAAGAACCTTTATTTGTAAGAGTATATGGTGAACAATGCAGATCACTGCACAAAAAAAAACAGTTTGAAGCATCTTAACTACAGCATATTTAGTCCTGATCTTTTAGGGCACTCGGTTCATATTTTCATAGCATGTATGTTTAATCTAATTACATTCATACTTGAGTTTCAATGTCAGGTGTGGTATAATCAAACCTGGATGGGTTCCGCAAAGAAAGCAGCGATACGATTGGGAACGGTTGTTGCGAACATCTCTTTGAGCTCTCTAATATACATGTCATTGGCCTGACAGTGACCTGAAAACAGAAAGAAACAGATTGATCTATGATACCTAAAATTTGTGCTAACAAGTAGATTTTTACATTTTCGGAAGAAAATGCAAGTGGTGCTTGTTTGTGCAAAACTTGTGGGTGCCTGCTGAGATGTTATTAGTGGTTTTCCATGTTTCTAAGATGTTCTTAGTAATGCTGCTCTACAAGAATCACTAATTATAGTGCAGAGTTAACAATTTCTGATCATGTATTGTGTGGTTCTTTTTTAATATAGTTGCTGCTGTCAATGTTTGACCTGATGAGACAATCAAGCCTTGTACTTTAAACACATTGTTCTGAGCTATTTTACAGGGAATTATTGATTATATGAGTATAATTTTCAAGAAGAAGAAACTTTTTTTTTTTTTTTTTTAGTTTAGGTCTATGCCACCATTCATATACACTGGTAATTAAAACAGCTTTACAGTAACATGCATAAAAGGAAAGAGCAAACATCTACATTTAATCCACAGATTTAGTGGATTTAGTCTAATTCAAAGTCTTTTTATTAAAACATACACACACATTTTTCCAATTGTTTAACATTTTTAAAAGTGGGAAATTTCAAAAAGTTAGGCTGTAGAATTTATAATAGAGTATTACCTTTATATAAAAACAGTAGAAGTCTATATAGTGTGCCCTCATTAAGCTTTGATAGTATGTGTGTGTGTGTTTGTACCTGGGGAGCAGCTGCATTCTCGGATGGTTTGAACTGGGGAGTCTCTACAGTGGCTTCCTCCCCAGAGGCCCCTGAACACATCCGGACACATGGTCTAAAATGAACACAATCCACATAGGAAAAAAAATGTATCAAAGCTTTGCAAGACAGATCACACAACTCAAATGCATACAGTTATAAGACATGCTTTTCAAATATGAAAATGCACTGTATTCCCAATATAACGTTCAAAATCTGTTCTATAATCAAATAATTTTTTTTTTATTATTCTTTCATCATAAAACGTTAAAATGTTATGCTTAAACCTGGAAAAACTATTTGCAATTTAGAAAAATAAACGTAATTCAAAATGCTTTTTTCATGCATAAGTACCATTCAAGAACATTTTTTATATTGGTTCTTTTTAAAAATAAAATATAGTCTTTTTTTTTTGTGGGACAGGTCTTGTCTTACATATAAAGTTCAGGGTTGTTATTCAACCTCATGAGGTCTGACAGTAATTTTGTTACTTTTGCATTAATCAACAACACAAACATAGGTTATGATGTTTCCTCTTCTAATGCGATTTGTGGACTTGACCCCGAGGGATATTACATTATAAAGCAGGTAGCTGACAGAAGGAGAAATGTGTGGGTGTGAGATGTACATTATGGCAGCCCATAGAAGAGGGGATGGGATATTTGTAATCTGCGTTGGACGTCAGGCCTGTCGCTTGTGGACTGCCACCATGATACGAACCCCTGAGCACACAGACACAGATGATGTAGGGGCTATCTATTACTGTACAGGGATGCTTGATCTGTCAGCTTTCCCAAGAACTCGCCATCTTCCATTTGTTCAAAAATTGGCAAATACGGTCAGTCACCTCAGTGTGATGACATCAAAGTTTCCTGTATAAAGCCGGGCCATTAGTACTGCGAGGTCATTAGCCTCCGAGCCACTGTTGGTAAAATAGACAACCTAGAAAAGAAGACCATCATGATATTAATGCTACACCACAAAAGGCTATGTGCACAGTATTCAAATTTTCTGTATGCATAATATTACCACTTGTTTGGGGTTGGTAATTTTTATTTTTTCCCATGTTTTTGAAAGAAGTCTCTTGTGCTGCATTTATTTGATCTAAAATACAGCAAAACCATTTATTGGTTTTTATTAACCATTTATTCCAATTATTACAATTTAAAATGATGGTTTTCTATTTTAATATATCAATGTTATATTTTAAAATGTATGTTATTTCCGTGATGACAGAGCTGAATTTTCAGCATCATTACTCCAGTCTTCAGGGTCACATGATCCTTCAGAAATCATTTTAATATGCTGATTTGGTGTTCAAGAATCATTTATCAATTTTTAAAAACAGTTGTTCTGACTTATATTTTTGTGGAAATGGTGATTTTTTTTCAGGATTCTTTGATGAATAGAAAGAACAGCATTTATTGGAAGTAGAAATCCTTTGTACCATTATACTGTAAGTGTCTTTACTGTCACTTTTGATTGATTTAATGTGTCCTTCCTGAATAAAAGTAATAATTTCATTAAAAAAAAACCTGTGCTCAAACTTTTAAATGGTAGTGCATGCCAAAATGTGCATTCAACTTTCTGATGCAATGGACCCTTAAAATGATGATCCTATATACACTACCGTTCAAAAGTTTGGGATCAGTAAGATTTGTAATGTTTTTGTGCTCATCAAGGCTGTATTTATTTGATCAAAAATACAGAAAAAAATGTAATATTGTGAGATATTATTTCAATTTCTAATATTGGTTTTCTGTTTTAATATACTTTAAAATGTAATTTATTTCTGTGATCAAAGCTGAATTTTAAGCTTCATTACTCCAGTCTTCAGTGTCACATGATCCTTCAGAAATCATTCTAATATGCTGATTTATTATCAGTGTTGGAAACACTATTTAAACGCTATTTAAAATTAAAATCTTTTCTAACAATATGAGTCTTTACTATCACTTTTTATCCATTTAACACATCCTTGCTGAATAAAAGTATTCATTACTTTCAAAAAAAGAAAGAAAAAAATTTACTGACCCCAAACTTTTGAATGGTAGTGTATATTGTAACACAAGATTTCCATTTTGAATAAATGCAGTTTTTTTTATTTTATATTCATAAAAGAATCCTGAAAAAAGTATCACAGTTTCCAAAAAACATGAAGCAGCACAACTGTTTCCAACACTGATAATAAATCAGCATATTAGAATGATTTCTGAAGGATCATGTGACACTGAAGACTGGAGTAATGATGCTGAAAATTCAGCTTTGCATCACAGGAATAAATTACATTTTAAAGTATATTCAAATAGAAATTTTATTTTGCAATAATATTTCAGAAAATATATATATTTCTTTTTGATCAAATAAATACAGCTTTGATGAGCACAAGAAACTTCGGTAAAAAAATATTTAAAATCTTACTGATCCCAAACTTTTGAACGGTAGTGTATATATATGAATTATTTGGAAAATATTGAATTTACAATAATTTTCTTTTTTGTATCTTCTGTAACAGTCTCTTAATTTTGTGACAATCTAATGAAGTTCAACATTAGAAAGCACAACTAGATGTAATTATGTCAAATTCTGTATGACTACTTCTTATGATTAGGATTTTAATTATGATTTTATTTTTATATATAATTTAGTTTTTTATATATTAGTAATTTAATATTTTAGTAATTGATATTTAACTTATATTGTACTATACATAAACTAAACTATTTTTTAATACTTTTTTGCAGACAAAACGGCACCCCCAGACCCCAGTTTGTAAGCCCCTGCAGTAGGCAAGAGTATGTTACATGTAATAAAATATATTCACAATGCAATACGCTCAACCTTCCACTTTCAGCAATGGCAGTGGCTCCATCAATCATACAGTACCTTCAGCGGGTCTGGCAAAAGACAGGCCAGTTTCTCTGCATACTCCTGCATTTGTGGATACACATAGATGGCTGTTGTGTGCCATAGACGCCTCAGCTGTTTCTCGGCCGTCTCTGTCACTCTCCTGCAACCATATTCAAACTTCTAATTACATTTTAGAAATAATGCAATTTTGTAAACAAAAACAAACACAGCAGGCCATGTAAGAGCTCTGGGCAATAAAATGCTGGAACAAGTCCATAATAAGCATTAATCTACAGCTTAGTCATTTATTGCAGTTCAAGCTAACTGTAATGCACACATTCACAAAATAAACAAAAATGTTGCATGGCAACAAACTGAAACTTACGGGTTACAATGTCCTACACTAACAGTGGCGACCCCCGCAAACAAGTCCAGATAGCGTCTTCCATCCACGTCCCACAGCCACTGCATGTAACCCTGGTTTATGAAGACTGGCTTCTTGTAGTATGTTACCTTCATAGTCATAGGGTTGCAGTTGTTTTTCCTTATGTCTAGTAAACGGTCTTTAGACATGCCCTAAAGGAAAAAATCATTCATGCTTAAAAATGATTTGATTTCTCTCTGATTATTATTATTATGAATGCCCTCAGATATAAACCTCTTACCTGATACGGCTGAGGTTTAAAGTCACATGGGGGAATCTGGGGCAGCACAGGTGGTGGGTGTTTCACGGCTGATTTTTGGCAAAGCACACCTGGGCAGAGGTACATTTAGTGCTCAGTAATCCATAGAGGCAGTTATGGGTCACAATATTTCCTGCCAGCTCATATGCAAAGGGGATATTTTTATCTTTTAAGCTGCAGGAAAGCCCTGCCCTGAGACCTGCTAACCTCCCAGTAACCTTGCATGCGTTGGCACAGAAGATTTACAGTGCTGATATAGGATAGGCATATTCAATCCATCCATCCATCCATCCATCTATCTATCTATCATATTATTTGTATAGTATTAAGTAGTATGAGTATATTGTATAATATTTTTGACTATTATTTTTAAATATTTAACGATAGATATTGATATGCAGTGTTGGGGGTAACGCATTACAAGTAATGCGAGTTACGTAATCAGATTACTTTTTTCAAGTAACTAGTAAAGTAACGCATTACTTTTTCATTTACAAGAGAATATTTGAGTTACGCAAGTTACTTTTTTTTCCAATTTATTGATTGACAGCTCTGGTGTCGCCATGGTGACAGAAATCAGAAGATGTTACTGTAGTTCTAAAATAAATATGAATATGTATTAATTCATCAATTCAAAAAAAAAAACACAGATTCAGTATTCCTCAAAATGAATAAAAATAATGCAAACCTGCAATAATTAAATGTTAAACAACACAAATATCCTTTATGTATTTAATCCCATTCTATTAACCAATGTCTTTGCTTCTGACCTTCGATGATCCAGTTCAACCATACTAATAAGCACAAATTACTCTAGACAAACATTTGTGTCTTTTTTTATTGCTGAAGTGTGTTGAAATGTCTTCTTCTGCATTCTACTGTACGGACGTAAATTTACTTTCCCTTCAGCCCGAGGCTTATTCATTTCACTTTTGGTGTGAAAAGGCTTTTATATTCGCCAAAAATAGAACTTTTTTATTTTAAAAACAAACAAGCAAGCCCTGTCCAGATTTAAAAAGTAACGCAAAAGTAACGTAACGCATTACTTTCCACAAAAAGTAACTAAGTAACGTAATTTGTTACTTTTTTATGGAGTAACGCAATATTGTAACGCATTACTTTTAAAAGTAACTTTCCCCAACACTGTTGATATGTATTCTATCTATCTACAACTTTAAGCAGTAAGAATTGTATGATATATCCAACTTCTAGATAGATAGATAGATAGATAGATAGATAGAAATGTTTTAATATTGACAGGGCAGTCATTCGTCATTAATTACCACAGTACCGCCATGGTAATGTCCAAACACATACTTATTTACATTTTTGTTATGATGACAGGGCCGTTATGTGTTCGTGATTCGATGCTCGGGAATCCGGACTACAGATTCGTTCGAGCCGAAATACGCAAACGCAATTTATGTACTATTAAAAACGTTACGTTACATGTTGCGGTCACTTTAAATGTGAGACAAACATTGCATTCTTACCGCAACCTTTGTGGAATTTTACACATGCATCCACTGAATTCCACGGGTCCGTTTTCCCGAACAGAGACGGACCGTGCAGCCGAGAACAAACTTTATGCATTGCTGATGTTTTTAAGACAAATACCTCTGCAGCAAATCCAAAAATTAAACTGTGGAAAGCGGTGGATTCTACTCCAAAAGTGTTCGGGGCGGGGCAAGTTCAGCCAATGGTATGAAGGGGTAAAGTCTGTCTTGAGGCCTTTTACTGAAGAGTAATGTCTTAGAAGTCACTAGAAGTGTACGAACCTCTCTATTATAGATCAGTGGTATTATCTTATGTTCCATTTAATATGGCTAAAAGTATATGAAATCTAGTTTGTTCAGTTCATCAGGTTGCGTCCATGATAAATGAATAAATGTAAATGTCAAGTATATAATATATACTGTAGTGTATATAATAATAATAATAATAATAATAACAATAATAATACAACTAACAGGTTTTTGTTTTATCAATTGGAAAACTTTATGCCTTCATAATTTTTCCCCTATTTTAATTTTTTCTATGTAATTTTTAATTGAATTACCATTGTGCCAGGCCTAGATTTTTTTTTACTTAAAATATAAAAATCCATTATAACAAGATGAATTAGATTTTATAAACTATGATAATCTAAAATAGTCAAGTAATCAATTACAAATCTCTGGAGATACAGTATAAACAAGTTTTTTTGTGACAAATTAGCAAAATAATAATAATAGGCCTAATAATAATAATTCAAGAACATAAAAGCTGAATTAGAATAAATGTTGTGGTCTTTGTATTACAGTATTTTCTAGTACACAGAACTCACTGTTAACAATTCTATTGTGTATATTCATTGCCTGAATGTTTTTGGTTAAATGTTTACCGGCAAAATAAAAAGCCATTCTCAGAATAACCACCCCAACACATCTGAAACAATCTGAGCATATGTTTTAATGGTTTTGCTATGTGATTACACAAATAATGTTTATGGAAAAGCAGAATACAGTAGAACACACAAGATGTATTTCTTACATAGGTTAACATCGCAAATTTAATTTCAGCACCTCCAGTGACTTGACAGTAAAGACAAAAGACAGTAAAGAAAATAGCAACATAATTCTATAAATAGTAATAATAGTATTCTTAGTGTATAACACATTTTTGTGATTTGAACAATTCTTTTAGTCAGATGGTTTTGGGTTTGGTAGAATGAAGTCAAAAATGTGATTTCAGTTAGAAAGATGTAATCCCTAAATGATCAAATCTGCATATGCATTTTCTTTACTGTAAGATAGCTTACTCTCAGATGAAAAGACTTAAATATTATTTCACACTGTTGCCCCGAGGCTTCACATTAAATTAGATACTGTAACAAACACACATTTTGTAGATGTGACATTGCCTGAGATAGAAATCTATTAAAAGAAATTGTGCTTTTCCATGCAGATTTATTATGCATGAAACTGAGAATATATAACTGTTGAGCAACAAAGAAAACGTTACGCTACTCACAAATCAACAAAGTTAGATGGGATGATTTATGTATGGCTTAGGCAAAACTAACAAAACTATTTATCAGTATATAAATTGCCTGTAGGTTACATATAAATGCATTTCTACATTATATATAACAATTGAATAATTATTGTATATTTACATGTATGCGTAATGCAACTTGCAAAATATATATTTGGTAATTTACCCTTTCCAAAAAAATAAAAATAAAATAAAAATACACCTCAGTCGGCTTTCAGAGATTTATGCATAAAATAAGGCAACATGTGGAGGTTGACTCTTGAATTGGCAAGGGCTAAAATCTTTTAAAATGAATGGCTACCTAGGATTTAAGGATATACAGACTTAGAAAAATAGATTCTCACAAGGTTAACATTCACAGAAACACACAAATTCTTACAGTGAACAACTCACTGTAACATATTTGGAAAAATATTTGAATGCTGGCAGTTTGCAATTTTTCATTTTACACTGGTTTTGCTTTTGTGTTTGAAATCAGTGCCAATAACATTTATAATACATACATTCGGCAGGAGTGTTTAAGTAAGTGTTCCTCCACCTGAGAGTTGTAAATATCAAAGGCAAATTCTTTAAAATTATAAGAGTTTACAATCAGTTCAAATCCCCTTCCATTTATTTACTTTTGCATGTGTGTAAACCATTAATAAGCAAAGACATTTTGAATTGTATGGCTGAGATTATGCTGTGTTTCCAGCAGGATTACAGTAGGTATAAACCGACTCTGACTGCAAATAATGCTCTTGTGTTTATATAATATGCAGCATACTGCCATTATATTTAAAATTCATTTAAATGTGTAGTGAAATGCATCAAGCAAAAGTTTTGAATTGGGTGAACGCTTTGACAATTCTTAAGATCAGTTCAAAAAATAGGCCATGTACATTATAGCAACAGACCCCGTCATGTAGTTTAGGAGTGAATAGCGGCATTAAAAAAGTAGTGGCTTTTAACACGTAACAGTGCCATGATGAAAATACATACAACAACATAATGCATAGTGGATTGCTGAGGGCAACTATGCTAAGTGCTAAGTTTTCAAATCTCATGAATCTCAAAACATGACAAGTCATTAAAAGTTAACAAGAAATGGCATTCACAACCAATTTTACTTCCAAAATACCATATATTTCTGAGTAAAACAGCATAAAAGTATTGGAGAATTGCAATGGCGGTTGCTGGATCTTGAAAAGTAGAATTTCCAATGAAATCACAATGTCTAAATGGCTATTGACTAACATACATACAGAATACAGAACATACAGAATTTAGGTGAATTTTG